GTGTTTGTATGGTTTATCACTGTTGCTCTGTGTGTCTCTGTTTCATTGTTTCTGAAGGCTGCTCATCCCATCGCGTGTATTCATTGCTCCTAGTTGATCCATTCCCCTACGAGTGGACCAAGAGTGTTGTTAATTCTCACTGCCATATCTTTTTTTTTTTTTTTTTTTTTGCTTTACGCCACCCGCGGTGGTACGTGGGCCTCTCACTGCTGTGGCCTCTCCTGTTGCGGAGCACAGGCTCCGGACGCGCAGGCTCAGCGGCCATGGCTCACGGGCCCAGCCGCTCCGCGGCATGTGGGATCTTCCCGGACCGGGGCACAAACCCATGTCCCCCACATCGGCAGGCGGACTCTCAACCACTGCACCACCAGGGAAGCCCTCACTACCATATCTTTAATGATCATCTCTGCAGGTAACCCCTTATAGATCTGAGTGAAATTTTCTAAATTATTATCTGTCAACATCTTTCATTTCTATAACTATTGCCAGCTTGCTTTGCAGAATTTCTGCACCATCTGCACTCTCAAAGCAGTTCATGTAGGTTCCCGTTTCCCTATATCCTCACCTATATTTGGTATTTTCTATTTTTTGCCTTTCTTCTGGGTATAATGTAGTATTTCGTTTAAATTTGCATTCCTAAAATTACTAGTAAGGTTGAACATTAACTTTGCATACTTACTAAACATTTGGGTTTCTCCTCTGAATTGCCTATTTATATACTTTTTCCATTCCATCTTTTATTTCTCTTTGATGACTTTCAAGAATTCTTTGCATCTTCTGTGTACATTCATCCGTTCTTGAATATAAATATTCCAAACTTCTTTGATATAGTTGATATTTTGAATACATTTTTCACAGTATAGAGTTCTTATTTATGATAACTTTCTTCTCAGCATCTTCTTGTGTTAGATTTACATTTTCTCCAGGTGGATCTTTAATATGAAGTAAATACAACTTTACTTGTTCTCTGTATAGTGTGGTAGGTTTCCCCAAATGAGCTATTAAGTAATTCATCCTGTCTCTCTTGGGGAATCATCTCTGTCATATAGCACGTTCACATTGGAAAGTGTTTTTAATAAAAGGAAAATTTTATTTTTATACTGTAATATATGATACATTTTCTGTAAGTCAAACAAAATTTTTTTTTATTGAAAGAAGGCCAGATAAACAAATATATAAAATTGTTGGTCTTTACTTCTTTACTAAAACTGATTTCATTGTTAAATATATTCTGAACTAACCAATTCAAGGCCTATGTCTGTCCATTTCCTATAAAAAGTGTGGAACCATATCATATGGTTGATACGCATGGAAATCACTGCTTCTTCCTGACTAGCCACCAGATGTGCAGGGTTCTTTGTTCAATTACTTTTTTTATTTGACATTATAAAACATACTGAATCAATCTTTATAGCTAAAAATATTAAAACCATTTTCAGTAAGAAATTTTGTGTTTTTATAGATTGCCTATAAGAATATTTGATAAAGTGATGTATTATGTACCATCTTCTTTTTTTTAATAAATTTATTTATTTATTGGCTGCGTTGGGTCTTTGCCGCTGTGCGCGGACTTTCTCTAATTGCAGTGAGCGGGGGCCACTCTTCGTTGTGGTGCGCGGGCCTCTCATTGCGGTGGCCTCTCCTGCTGCGGAGCACGGGCTCTAGACGCGTGGGCTTCAGCAGTTGCAGCACGTGGGCTCAGTAGCTGTGGCTCGCGGGCTCCAGAGCGCAGGCTCAGGAGTTGTGGCACACGGGCTCAGTTGCTCTGCGGCATATGGGATCTTCCCTGGCCAGGGCTCGAACCCATGTCTCCTGCATTGGCAGGAGGATTCTTAACCACTGCGCCACCAGGGAAGTCCCTGTACCATCTTCTTGACCAAGGAAATCTGGTCTGCAGACAGAACAGCAGAATGAAAACAATTCTGTAAAAAAGATTTGATGTTGAAGGTATCCATGTTAACAAAAGGGGAAAGATTAAATTGTGGAAAGACTTCAAATCCAAATTTCAAAGTCATTTTTTATTTTTAGGCATTCATAGGCCATGGAAGATATATTTAACTTTCAAAGTAGTTTAACCTTCATAGTGTACAGCTGTCCAGACTCAAGAGTTAAAACATCTTTTCCTAAATTTATGATTCACTGTAACCAGGAGGGGAGACCAAAATTCCAAGACAGGCACTATCTATAACATGCAAATAACTGATATAGGACAATTCTCATTGTAATTGTCGTGCTTCCACATTTTTGAACCAGTCTGGACTTTATCTATATACAGTGCAGTTTCTCAAACTTGGGTTTCTTTCTTATGAAAGAAACACCTGCTTTTTATACCAGACTTGGAAACAGAAAACAAAAAACAAGAAACTGCTTCTCATCCAATGATGAAAGATTTGTATTTATTTCTATTTTTGCTTTCTGTTTTATTTCAGAACACTTTCATAGACTGCTTGCTCTATGCCAGAAACTAGGCTAGGTGACTTTCATGTTTTCTCATGTATTATTCACTCTCACAGGAGGTATAGTAGGGAGAGATCAAAGGATCATATTCGTGATGATGTTTGTATGCAGATTCTTTTCAGGGGAAGACAGTGTCCTGGAACTGTTTTTTCTATGTATCTGTGGAGCACAGACCCCTTCTTTCATTAGTTAGTAACTGCTCCTGAAATCATGCTTGTTTCCTCTCTATCCAAGTCATTATTGAACTTACCTAGAAAAAGTGAATAACTTTTGGATGTATCTTTACTGGTATACCCCATTGTTTTGCATGTTTGTGCACTATGAACTAATTAGTATGTTCTCATTTTTCAGTGTGTTCTGAGCACTCACTGTGGAATATTCAGTGATTAGGCAATAGGCCTTTGCCATTATGAAACTTAGTATATGGTTCAAGAGATAAGAATTGTATGGAAAAATAATTTGAAGAGGAATAAAAACACCAACTTATGTACTACAGATGTGAATGCCATTGAGTTACAAAAAGAAACAAAAGATTTTTGTGGGCTGTAAAGAAAGTATTCATTTAAGAAGGGGAAATTTAAGCCTAGAAGGAATTTTTTAAAGTAATGGATGGGTGGAGTTCCCAGCAACAGAAAGGAGTTCAACTAATGGAAAGAAAGACTAAGACCAGAATAAGACCTGGAAGTGCGAAGTAAGGGGAGAGTTCAGGGGCCAAGAGCAGCGGCAGTTGTGCGGAGGAAGGTTTGATTCTAGTACTGTATAGGTTCCCGCCACCACCTGCCCTTAAAAGTAAAACATTTTCTTGGGCTGCCATCATCACTTAGAATGTTTATTAAATATTCACAAGACTGAAACCAGAAATGCATTCTTTATGCTCATAGCTTTTATTCAAGTATAGAATGAAAATAAATTTACAAATAAATATATGCATCATTAAAATTTTTTTTAATGTGATGACTGTTTTTCGCTAAAATAAGGTATCTCCATGAACATATTTTGGAATACAGACTACCACATATGTGTGTGTATGTGTGTGTGTAAAACATCTATCCACAGCACCTTGTGCCATATGATGATGCAGTCCCCCCACACGTTGTTCAAGTGACTTCAAAACTTTTTATGTACATTAGTACGTAGGGATGTTGTTTGGTTTTCATATGGCTGGAATGTATCAGTACCATATTAAATTTACCTTTGTTCTCAGCAGCTGGAAACTATTCAAGCTTTAAAAATGGTTCAGAATAAACACAAAGACTCACAATGAGGTTGATCTTCCACACGATCCCAAATAGAGTTTATTAATTTATATTGATTATCATGAAAATAAAGGCATTAAGAAATCCTTCTAGAAAATTCATTCATCTCCAGAAGTGTTCCTCTTCCACCAACCCTAGTGAGAAACACCACGTTAAGCTGCTTTGGGATAGACAATCAGAAAGGCAGAATCTGGTTCCTTGAGCAATGCTCACCTGCTCAGAGGAGCAATAGAGTCTGAATAAGTTCTCAATCAGGAGCATGACGAAAGGGAATGGACTTTGAAGAGTAAAATAGCGCCCATATGTTGACATAAAGGAGAAGGATACCAGGTAGAAGAAAACTTATTACAGGACTGTTGTTATGTATTTGCAGGTAATGTTGCAGGCTCGGGTGTACAAAGGTTAACAGGTGAAATGATGGTATAAGGGAAAGACATTGGGTGTGAAGGGGGCCTGAAGAAATGACATTTGGTTCAGTGTGTGGGGAGGAGAAGGACCCAGCCATATGGGAGTCCCTCTAGGTCCTGAAACAGAATGAAGTTGGGCATGAAAACAGGAACAGAAAGAAGAAGGATTTGGGGGAGACTGCCATGAGATAAGGTCAAAGAAACAGTCATGAAATACGTAGCAAAAAATAGTGAAATGGAATGGATGGATTTTTTTTTTTTTTTCGGTAAGGAGAGAGAGTATAGGTATCCCAGCTCTCTCAACACAGGTCCTTGTAGGTACATTGATCATTATGATCTGGGAAACATAAGAACCCCTGAACTAATAATGTGAGAAATGGCATTTGTTCTGACATTACAAAAGAAATTAAATTTGACAGATCTTCATTTCACTCAAACTTTGAGTGCTATGCTGAACTGGGAGAAAGCTCTCTCAGTTTGCTCTTAAAAATACTGATGTAAATTGACCTCAAAGTCATTGATATGAAATGATCTCAATATAAATAAGTTCAGGACACACACACACACACCTGATGTAATTACCTCTTTCTCATATATATTTATATTATATATAGTATAACAATATAAATATAATATAAAAGAAATATATGTATTAAAACATGAATGTATAAATAAAATACTAACATAATTTATATATATTTATATAATAGAGAGTTAATGTATAATAGGTATATAATATATATAATTATATATATGATTTTTAGGATTTCATCACACGATAACAAAAATGAAAAAATTCTAGATAGTGGAAAGGGTTATAGGTTGGCGTTCTTTTGTCCTGGATAATACTTCAGTGCCATTGATTTTCTTGTTCTTGCAGGTGAAGACAGATGACAGAATGGTTAAGATGGACCTCGGTTTACTCTTCCTGAGGGTACGCAAAGTGGATGCTGGGACCTATTTTTGCCAGACAGTTGAACATAGTTTTGTCCATACAATCCGTAAAATCACCCTGGAGGTTGTGGAAGAGGAGAGAGTGGAAGAAATGTTTACCAAAGACTACGAAGAGGATGGGCCTCACAAGACGCCTTGTCCTGTTCAGAGCAGCATCCCACATGGAACAAAACCCTGGTACAAGGAGTTCTTGCAGCTGATTGGTTATAGCAACTTCCAGAGAGTAGAAGAATACTGTGAAAAGGTATGGTGCACGGATAAAAAGAGAAAAAAGCTTAAAATGTCCCCTTCCAAGTGGAAGTATGCCAACCCACAGGAAAAGAAGCTCCGTCCCAAAGCCGAGCACTATCGCCTGCCTAGGCATGTGCTGGACTCCTGATGGGGCGAAACCAGCTACTGGCTTCTGACGAATTTATATTTAGAAACTTTAAAAAAAAAAAAAAGAGAAAGAGAAACCATCCACCTTCTTTGCATTACTTAAAAGAGATTTCTGTAATACAGAAAGGACTATAAAGGTGTTATGATAAATTATTCTATATACTCATTTGACTCGTTGAACCTTACATAAAATTACCTAATTTTTTAAAAACAATGTTATTGCTTGATGATTTCACATTATATTTATCAAAAGGTGACCATAGCTGTAGCTTTGAGTACTTGTCTGCTTTTCCACAGGAATTATTATTTTACCCTAGGAAGACTTAAGATTATTGCAATATTGCTGAAAAATTAGAGATTTTCATAATCATGGCAAAAATAAATGTTTTAATCCTTCTGAATTTTGCCTTTCCACCACGATGTAAAATATATAGAATATCAGATACTTTAACATGCTCATGTGAACCATCTGTAGTCTTTAAGAATTATTGTGTTAGTGTTGTCTAAGCCATGAGCTTTATGAAGCAGGTGTGTTGTAATTATCGTAAACCATGAAGGAAAAATCGTGGTCACCTTGAGGCTTGTGCTTTTCATAAAACATTCATTAAACCACATTCACAGTAGTTCTGTTTCAGGATGAAAACACATTCTTTCAATTTCACTCCAGTGCAGAAAGAAGAAAATTAAGGTAACTTCTCAGAAAAACAGCAAAATATGTCAGAACAGCTGGAGTGACAGACTCTAACTGAAAACATTTTTGCTGCCCTCTTGTGGTAGAAAAGGTATATTCTCGTATCTTTTTTTTAATTCTATGGATTGTGCAGTAAAGATCTGAAACCAGTTTCTCAGTAACTATATCTAGCTCATCTTCAGAAAAAAACTAACTGGAGTAAAAATGTATTAATGCTTATATCATGTTTTAAAGTGGAGATAATATGTTTATTATTACCTCACAAGCCCAAAACGAAGATACTACGGCACTGGCGCTCTATTAAAACTTAAATTTTATGCCTTTTAAATAGTCTTCCATGAAATCTATAAGATATTCCAGAAACATGTTTTATTATTTAAAAATAAGTAAAACATTCTGCTCTCAGATATCAAAATTACCTTTCAATTTTATATTAACAAATAGGAAAATTGTTTCATGAGGTTCACTTAACTGCTGAGATGTTTAGAGCACCTTAACTTTCTTCTTGTAAATCTTATGAGAAGTTTTTATTTTTGAGAATGCTTATTTCCTTATTTCTTCTGTTTTATTTAGCCATTAACTTTCTAAAATATGAAATTCTGAGTTTTCATTTAACCACAAACTAAAAGCAAGTGAATTACACATGAAAACAATTATGAATATTTAAATGTTAATTTTGAATAACGTTAATTTCAGTTTTCAAAATTACCTTATAGGCTATACATTTAAGAAAGTTAAAGTGTTGATAACTTGTGATGGTTTGCAATTTCATTCAAACATTAACAAATTTAAGAAAGTTTGGAAAGTTCATTCAATAAGCTGCCAAGCTCCAAAAGTCCTAAAGGAAACAAATATATCGGATGTTAACATTCTCTGAAAAATGCAGTTGTTATTTACCTAGAAATCCACTGGAGGTCATTGCTGCCCACCAATATTAACTGAAAACTGTGTATGTTTCAATAAAAGCCTGCCCAACGTGGAGAAATAGAACCATAACCACAAATCACAGGGAGGGTCCTTAGCAAAGTTTATGTCTGAAATACTCAAAGTGAACAGATAAGGCAAAGCATAATTGAAAATATTCTTGCATTAACACAAGAGAAGGGAAAGTAGGATTTTCTCCTGTATTCAAAATTTTTAAAACATAAGGCAGTTGCGGTATAAGTAGTTATCACTTTAAATAACACACACAAGCAGTTAATAATAATGATAGCAGTGACGTCAATTGTGAACTAAAATATTTGGTAACTGAAGAGAGAAGACTTAGGAAAATAACTTTTCTATGACGTAAGTCTTAAGAATAAATGGTCCTACAAGCTGTTCAACTAAAATGAGATGACTATTTTAACAAGAAAAAGAAAGAAGCTTTTTAAAATGCTAACTTGAAAGAAGCCTGATAAGAAAATTTTGAGGATACAAGTTCACAGTTTAGGGAGAGCACTAAATTTCATACACACTTATTTTTCTGTTTCTCACTTTCTGTCTCTCTCTCTGTCTCTCTGCCGCCGGCTCCTCCCTCCTCTTTTCTCCCCCCATATGTGAGTGCAGGTACATTATCTCACACACACACACACACACACACACACACACACACACATCATGACATACTTTAAGATAAATCTCCATTGCCCTCTCAAAAGACAAACCAACAACCTATGCTGTCCTGTCCTTCTTGAGAATCTGAAACATATCACAAAAACATATTTGCAATCTTTTGTTCTGTCTGGCATTAGAAATCAAATTTAGAATCTCCTTTGCGACATGCCCAAGCTTGGAAAATCACAAGTGAATCGATCCTTTTTATCCCCTTTTTCTTGAACTCAGGAAGGGCACATACTTAGTCACCTTCCTTGACAGCAGCACATTTTCGCCAGACCCCGTGCCCTCTGGGAACACACAGCTGAGAAAGAATCATAACCCATAACTACCCATCCTAGATTCAAAGGGACACCTCCATGTGGGGTCAGTCTCCTGCTTCTTCAGCTGTCTTCTATGTTATTCTCTGGAAAGGGAGAGGACCTGTGAATAGAATGAGTTTGGCATAGGACAATGTGCACCTCTGTTTTCAGTCTTGTGTCACCCATTGAGCTAGAGATGGAGATTTGTTAGCTAGAAGGACTACAACTTGAATGGATCTTACTTTATGATTTGTGAGGTCTCTTCCACATCTAGCCTTCTACATTGATAATGTTTTCTTTTGTGGTTATTACTGAATATTTCAGTGCAAAGCTATCAACTTGGAGAAGCAGGATTTAAAAATAGTAATAAACACTCATAAGAGCTCTAGCAAAAAGGGAGCAGAAAGTCTTTGCCTGCTTAGTAAGTGGCAATTCCATATATATTTTAGAGTTTTTTCCTTCCTAAAGTTAGTCAAATACTTGGGATGTTTTTTAATCAAGTGTGTAATATTCGCTATAGGGTGTAGGGTTTTGTAAATCTTCATAGTTATTATGAACATTTGTAAAATTTGTAAATTACAGTAAATCGTTTTGAGTGTTAGTGGTAAGCATGAAACAAACACAGCAGGTGTTGTCCTTGAAATGAATTGTCTTCAGCCTGACTGATGTATTAAAAATATCACTTAGCGGGCTTCCCTGGTGGCGCAGTGGTTGAGAGTCCGCCTGCCGATGCAGGAGATGCGGGTTCGTGCCCCGGTCCAGGAAGATCCCACATGCCGCGGAGCGGCTGGGCCCATGAGCCATGGCCGCTGAGCCTACGCGTCCGGAGCCTGTGCTCCGCAACGGGAGAGGCCACAGCAGTGAGAGGCCCGCGTACCGCAAAATAAATAATAATAATAAAAAAAAAATCTTTACGAAAAATATCACTTAGCACTGTATAGGTATTTGAGATCCCAGGAGAAAGTGCCACAGTCTTGATGCCTGTAAGGAGTTGCTGTTATTTTTCTTAGAGCAAAGTATCACATTGAGGTACTTCTTCAAAAGCAGTGCTCATTTTTCAGGCCAACAGCTGTTGCATTTGAATCAGATATAAATAATAGATTTTCCAGAAACACTTTCGATTGTAGTATGTTATGTAAGCTGGTACGTTTATTTTATTTTTGTTGGAAAGATAGCGTTATCTTTTTGGCTTTCATCATAAACTCAATGTGTTCTGTTTGCGTCTAAATGTCTTAGTTACAAGCTGGAGGACTGTATTGGGGTATTTTTGTCTGTATGGCTTCCTTTTATTTGCTTGCCTGTGTCCATCACAGCATGTGCCATATGTTTCTTCTTACTGATGATAAGCCATGAGACATTACCATCTGGTGGCAAGCTACAAAGACCATTGACAACGGGTCTCTTTGACTGTTGCATGAATCTGCCACTGTACACTGCAGAATTTGTACCATTATGTATAATTTCTATTTAGTTCAACTTAGAGAATAAAGAAATAAATATTTGTAAACACTTGAGTGCTGTCCGAGGAGTGTTTTCTCACTTTTTGGCAGTTGAACCCCAGTTTCATAACGTGTCAAGCTGAACGTAAACATACAATGTTAGACAAGCACTAATTTTTAAGAAGTTAGAAAAGAATTCATTCAAATTCTCTTTCATTTCAAATGTGTAAGTCAACTTTCTTAAGAAGGAGAGTTCATTCATCTCAGTACCTTGCAGCAGTTGGGTTTGTTTATGTCACATCATGTTTCTGGGACCAGCATCCAGAAATCCCTTTCAAAGTTGCATCATCCAGGTAAGAGATATGGAAAATGAATGCCTTTAAAATGGTAACTAATAGGGTGTTTACGATTTTTACAAGCCTCGACTGGTATCTAAATTGCTGTTTTCTCTGCTATTTTTTATAAGAACTTGGGGAGGTCATTTAAATGAGATTTAGTGTTAAATGACTCCTTTGGGGAGTTTTGTTTTCAAGGCCAATTTTATTGTATCGGTAAGTAATTAGTTCCGATGTTTTAAAGGAAGATTTTGGCAGCAGCCTAGGACATGTTTCTGGCAGCTTTGTGATATGACAGTGCCATTACTGCTTATATGTTTCACACTTGCATTTATTTATAATACAGGGTCTACTTTTAGTGTAGTATTTGATGAACCCATTGAAACTGCTTTTTAGATCCATGCTCAGTCATTAGTCGAGGAAAAGTAGAGAAACATTTGTGGGGATTAGAAATCTCTTACCTATTATTCAAAGGGAACAAAAGTATGCCCCCCTTTTTATTCAGAACTATGTGCCAGGCAGTGGATGGTTGCTTAATAATGCCATTAAGTTATGTAGATCAATAAAAATTGAATTATATTTGTTCTCAGAAGATGTTTTCATTGGAAAAATTCCAAATCTTCATTTTACTTTATGCACTGAGACACTCAACAAGAGTGTAGCTTTAAATTTTTTTTTCAAGTGTTTTGATTGTTGTGAAAAGTACTTCTAATTATGAATCTTGGGACTTCTGGTCAGGATGGCATTG